TAACTGCATTGTAGTTGTTAACGTGTGTAAATTATACGCCTCATTGTCATTGTCGAACTCCCTCTGGAATATGTTCATGAGACGAGTCCAAAGCTGTCATTCACCCTGGATGAGAATACTTTTTGCGAAGCCATGTTATGTGAAAGTCAATGGAAGCCTGAGACCTACTCATATTATTGTGGAAAAATTCAACAAACAGTCCTTCTTGACCCTAAACGAAATTGAGTGGTCCAGCTCATATAATTGTATTTTGCCGTTACAATAGGTTTCGTTACTTTTATTCACTTAAAGTAATTTTCAATACCATCTGAATATTTTAACCAGGTATTCCTTTTTACTATTCCCACGTAATTTGGTATAGATGAGTCACCTGATAGAACCGTAAGACTGACATCCCCAAGTTGAACTAAAGCAGCACTGGCTCAATTTCCACCGGATAATGCGAGCTCAAGATAAACATTGCATAATAAATAATTCAACAATATTCTATTCATGCACCTAGATTATTTGTCATTAAATAAATCTCTTTTATAAGTATTTTACTGGCCAAATCTTCATTAACACTATAACTAGAAGTCTCGATTCCAACTTATGTAAAGTTAGTCATATATCCAACATACAAGACTGCAGCCTTACAAAGGGCCATGTGATCCTGATTGTCTCAGCCACTGTCTCCTTGTTTTGTCACGGCAATAGCAGATTTTAACTCTTCTCGGGGTTTGTAACTAAGTTGTAATCACTTGTCTTGATTAATGGTACTAGTAGGGTAGGTGCCAGGTCATAGAGTTGCATCTGAAATAGGATTAGTGGCTCAGATAAATTCAGTATTTCAGAGGTGATAGAGAGCAAATCTAGCTTCGATGTCCTCAAAATATTCATGCTAGCCTTTCTTCTAGTCAGTTGCTCCATACATATATGCGTTAATATGTAGCACATACTAACTAGAGAAAGGAGGTTGGCGAATCCTATTTTGCACCAAGAGTAAATCCACCTGAACTATATACATCGCGCAAACAAAGAAGGCTACAAGTAAATAGGGTCACATGCCTTTAATCATATTTGTACTCGGGCCTGGAGAAAGCAAAGCTTAAAGGCAAAACAGCTGATCGGTCTGTTAACAAAGACAGCTGGCCTTAAGCCAATCAGATGTCCGCAAGTAAACTGGCAAGTTTTTCACAGATTTGATTGGTGGAGCCGAAATGGAGAAGGATAGACTACAAGACTGACACAATGCCACCAGACATTTTGAGGTTGCCACGGCGCTAGACGTGTCATCATCTAGTTTTCTGTTTGGCTGTCCCAAAAACGCCGCTTCGTCTGGGGCATTCGGCCAGCAGACGTACACTGTCAGCTGCTTAAGCACGGTTTTGGAGACTAGTTTGTTTGTGTGTCTAATTTAACTACGGAGGGCATCTTTGTCTAGTGGCCTAATTTTACGAGCCGTCTAGGCTTTTTGCCGTCTTCCCGGGTATCTGACTGTCGTGTTCCCAGGCCCCACTCGAGCAATTGATATTTATATACGCGTGCCTGCTTTCTTGTCTGCACCAGTTGACCAATCAAAATTCAGATGGTTGGACTGGTGTAATAGACAGGACGATGTGTTAGTACCCATGTCTACTGGGGCTGCAAGCTGTTGTAACCACACCACTTCTTTGTCTCTTCGCGTCCGTCCGACATAAAGGCACGTTTAGATTGCCCTTGCGGGCGTTTCGCGTGCCTCGTTGCCCCAGACAGCTAAGCTTCCGCCATCCTTGTTTCCTTATTTTTGTATATAAATACTCGGCCGCTTCTCAACTATTCACCTTATGTGTCCACTAAAGCCTTCTTACTTCATGATGCTCTTGTCCTTCGTCGTCATCTTCCTTCCAAAAGGTCTACAACATTGGCTACCTCAAATGCTGTGAAGATCGGTTTGGACTGACCCTCCATCTTCTTCCAGCTCATTGTTAGAATACCCCCGACCTGGAAGCGAGACATTTGGAGCCCAGTTTTCTGCTTGTATGACCTCCACAGATCTAAAATCTCACTTCTCTTCCACCATCGGTTAGCTCCCCGCTGTCAGCCATGACGACCACAATTGTCGGACACCAGCCGACGCCTCATCGCACGTATAGAACGCTCTGGGAGCCGGTGAACGGTTCCGAACAGAACATGGAGTCATCCATAACTCGAAGTCAAGCCCTTCTCGCCGTGTGCACCAACTACTGTCCAAACCCCGAGTACAGACGTGTACGCCCATTTCTTCTTCCAACCAAATCATCTTTCGATGGTAATGGAAACCCGCATTCTCATCTGGAGAAGAGCCTTGGCTACGGCGCTTTCGGAGTCGTCTGGTAGGTCCTTATTTTCATTTTCTTGCCTAACTTCAACTTAGACTAAGATGAAACTTATATTAAGAGAGAGCAGGTTTCGAAACTAACATTGGATCTTAGATAAGAGTTCCGGTTAGTCGGGGTCGCATAAGGTGTCGAGATTATACATTGCCCTACCTGGATGCTATTTCTGCTGAGGCTGAGAGGTGGAAACTGCAACCCGTCTTAAATGAGAGCACC